CTCATTGAACATTTTTGCAACTGAGTCCTCTCAATATATCAAATTCCCACATATGTGCCCTGAATTTTTAATCAAAAATCTGAAGCAGAAACGCGGATCTCTTCAGCGGCTACCACTCGCCGCCTGCTCTCCGTCGATTGGTTTTTCGCCGCCGCCTTCTCTCTCCGCCGATCGGACGTTCGCTGCCAACAACCTTCCCAGCCGCTGGTGGCCCTCCCCGATTTTGAACGTCGACCTCCAGATCAACCCCCGACGACGGCGGTCTAAACCTTACGTCGTCGCCATATTTCCTCTCACCGTAAGGTCCTGTTTCATGTGTTGGAGAAGATAATTTTTGGTTACGACGGAGATGATTTTTTAGTGCCATCGGCTGGGTATGTGTCGATGATTTTGTACGTCGGCATTTGCAGCTGGGGATGTATCGACGGCGGGGGACGGGTGGCGGCGACGAATCGGGTGGCTAAGATGAGGCTGATCGTTGATCTGAGCATTCTCACTACGAGCTGTGGATGAGATGTCGGACTCGGCGAACGATGGTTGCAGCGGATGACAACTGAGGCGAAATGATCGGCGGACTCGATGCGGTTGGGTGGCGGCAGAGTGCCGAAATCGACGACCTGGGGTCGGTATGTGAACCGCCATCGGGCATCGGGAGAGGCAGATAGAAATGGAGAGAGAAGAGAGAAATGGAGAGGAGAGAGGAGAGAGGAGAGAGAAGAGAAGGGTAGTTGGGAATATTGTGGGTGGGGCCCACTGAATTTTTTATTTAGTAAATTATATCATTGTCCTTCAATGTATTTATTTGTCCATGATATAGTAGTATAATTGCGATTTTGCCACTACAGTTTTGACCATTATACTTAAATTTGACTTCATCATGTCCATTAATATAATTGATCCAATGGTTCATGATCATTCTTATTTCTTTCACTATCAATCATTCTCATATGATCTCTTACATATATATATATATATATATATATATATATAGAGAGAGAGAGAGAGAGAGAGAGAGAGAGAAAGAGAGCGAGATAGAGCGAGAACCTATTTACTAAAAATAATAACAAAAAAAATCAACCAGCATTTATTGCATTAAATTCTTGGCAGTTTTTTGAATTTTCTTATAAAATTATTTCAGAAAAATCAATCAGCTATATATGTACCCTAAATTCATGGGTTTTGTGGATTTAATTTAATTAAATTTCGGCTGATGCATACAATTTTGCAAAAGTCAAAATTCGTTCTTATTATATATATATATATATATATATATATATATTAAAAAATTGATTACCATAAAATCGAGAATTTCGAATTAGACAAAATAGTACCACATGTATATTTTTCAAATTGCAACATATCAATTTTTTATTAAAAAACAATAGGATTTCATAGAAATCAGGTTAATTAAGGTAAAATTCGGCACGATTTTGTAAAAGTCGAAATTCTCCCACTTTTTATTAAAAAAAATGTTAACCATAAAATTGAGAATTTCTAATTAGGTAAAATACTATAACATGTATCTTTACATAATTGCAGCAAATCATGTTTATTAAGAAAAAAATCAGATTCTGTAGAAATCAGACTCAATTTCAAATTGAAAATTAAAATTTAAAAATTCTTTATCATTTGGCTACTACTTTGTTTAGGGCATAATTTCAAAATTGGTCCTATAACTTGGCCACTTTCCAAAAAACCACCCCGCCATTGGCCACTTTCATTCTTGGTCCTATAAATTGTCCATTTAATCAAATTTGGTCCTTTTTCTAATCAAATTTGGTCCTATAATTTGACATTTTGGTCCTTTTGTAATCTCATTTTAATCCATATTCTAGATAAAATGACCAAATTTGATTAAAATGTCAAATTATAGGACCAAGTTTGAAAGTGGTCAATGGCGGGGTGGTTTTTTGGAAAGTGGCCAAATTATATGACCAATTTTGAAATTATGCCCTTTGTTTAGTTTGTATTTTTTTTAAACATAACAGAGTCAGATAATATTAATTTTAAATTCAAAAAGAAATCAAATTGGAACAGAGTACAAACTTGAAATGTATTGCATACACCAACACAATTTTTCTCTTCCTCAAATTAAGTAATTCAAGATTTTAAAATAATAAAGCTATAGATTATCAAGAAAGACGTTTTACAATATCCGTTATATTTGGCTATGCATTCTTCATAAAACCATTATAAATCATATCATATATATCCTGTGAAATAATTTAATTGATTTATTTAAGCATATCTAGAATCCTAATATTATTTGTGGCGATAGACGGTGTACCAAAAGATCAAACAAATAATGTTGTGTGCAAGAACGCATTTTAATAATATATAAGTTAAATTTTATTTTATTTCAATATATGTGTTTTACGTTTTCTAAAATTAAATTCTTACCTTAATAAAACTAGTTCGTGCATCGTAAGGGTACCATACTAGTTATTAATAATTAGAGATATGTGAACATAGATGAATAGCGTATTTGAACATAGATGAATAGCGTATTTTATTGGATGATATAATCGTACTTCATTTTTTTTAATTGAGTAGGTAGAATTTGACGAAAGAAAATGAACTAGTTGGTTTCTCCCAAAGTAGGGAAAAAATTTATAACTGCCTCTTTTTAACAAAGATTTTACAAAACAGGTTTTATCTATACACAGTTTTCAATTTACTCCAAACAGTAGACATAGACAGCCATTCACGGGAAAAATAAAAATTAAAATCAAATACTTAAAAAAAAAAACTGAAACGTTTTCACCAAAAACTGAAAAGGTATAATTTGAATTTGAAAAAAAAAATTGTATGAGAGTTAACAAATAAATAAAAAAATCCTACCAATTAAAAAAAAAAAGTCTCCATTGAACCCAAAAAAAGCATCAAACATATGAAACATATTCTTCCCAAAATTGTTCAAAGAAAAAACAAAAAAAAAAAAGGAATTGAAAATAACACGCATCGGCATAATAAAGTTTTGAAGATTCGAGATTTGAAGATCAGATTCAGTTTTGAATATTCGAGATTCGAAGATTAGATTCACAGATTCAGTTTTGAATATTCGAGATTCGAAGATTAGATTCACAAAATCACAAGTGATGTAAAAATTTATTTGATGTATACAAAATAAGTTGTTCTTATATATCAGGTGATGAAATTCAGTTTTTTTTGCATCTACAGAGGTGTTCAATAAGTTCTTATTGTTCATAATTTTGTTTTATTAAAAAACAAAAATCTGGGTTTTTTTTTTTTTACAAAAATGAGAAATTTATAGACTACTGTCATACATTTTATCAATATTTTGATCAACTATTACAGAATGAATAATATATATAGATATCAATATTTTGATGAAAAGATAATAACAGTAAACATTAATTTATAATTAACTTATATTGATTAAGAGAAATCTTGATATCATTAATTTTTAAAAATTTATGCAGGTAAGATGAGCATGGATCTTTTTATTGCTCAATATAATGGACAATGGATCAGTGAAATAAATTATGAAGGATATGAAGTTTGTGGACTCTTCCATAAAGAGAATGAAAGTTTTGATGATTTATTACAAGTTGTGGAAAATGTTGTAGAATATGTTCCATCTGATTCAAGATTGGTGATGAAGTATCAGTTAAAGCAAGGTTACAAACCGATAAAGATAGGCAACGAGACGAGCCTACAGTTTTACAAAGAGCTGAAAAAAGAAGAAAAAAATTACACAAAACTGTCAATTTGTGTATCATTGGAGCCAAAACAGTGCCTAGCCATTACCAGCATGCCATGTACAGAAGCAAATGAAGAACGTCACCTCACAGTACAACCAATTCCCATGATAGATTATAATGTTTTTAAGAAAGGAAAAAATGCAAGGGAAGATTTTTCGGAATGTTCAGACAGATGTTCAAAAACTCTTGTTGAAATAGCAGATGAAAGCCTCCAGTTAATTGAAAAAAAACACGGAAGTGAAGGGTTTATTCAGAAGAATGCAAATTTTGATGGTGTGCTTGAAAGTGGTCAAACATTTTCAAATAAAGATGAACTGAAGAAGTTCTTGAGCCTCTATGCCATTAAACATCAATTCCAGTTCATGGTGAGAAAGTCATGTCAAAGACAATATTTCATTAGATGTGTTGACAACAATTGTAGCTGGAGAATGAATGCTTCAAGAATTGGTTGTGCTCCAACTTTCAAATTTAGAAAAGTTTGCATCGAGCATAGATGCAGCTTTGGGAAGAGAATGAATAATCAACGGCAGGTCACAACAAATATAGTTGGATTCTTTATTCAGGAGAAGTTCCTGAACATGAAAACAAATTGTACCCCAGCAGACATTATGCAAGAAATGAAGAATTTGTACGGGGTAACACTATCATACAGGAAAACTTGGCGAGCAAGACAAAATGCATTAGAAAAGGTTTATGGTCATTCATTTAAATCTTATGGTATGCTGCCAAGATATTTGTAAAAGCTAATTGAGGCTAATCCAAGATCAGTCATAAGGCTTAAGACAGATGAGGCGAATAAATTTGAATATGTGTTCATATCAGAAGAGGCTTCTAGAAAAGGATGGGAGCATTGTCGATCAATTGTAATTGTGGATGGTACATTCCTGAAAGCCACATACGGAGGAACACTAATAACTGCAAGCACACAAGATGCAACAGGTCACACTCTTCCCCTTGCATATGGAGTAGTTGATTCTGAGAATAACAATGCATATGAATGGTTCTTTTCATTATTGAAGAAAACATTGTCAGAACGAAAAGAGTTGTGCATTGTATCTGATAGACACAAAAACATCAGGAAGGCAGCTGCAAAAGTAATAAAGTGTATATGTATTGATTAGTTTAAGAAATTTTTATAATTTAATTGGGAAAGCGATTATAAAACAACATAGAAGAAACTGTAAAGAAACTGATAAGATACCAAAACAAAACAGTAATTTAAGGAAAATATTGTTTTATTATTAATGAAGTAACTTGTATTTTTATATCAAATAGGTATTTCCAGAGGCTACTCATTGTTGTTGTGCATATCACTTGTCTCGGAACATAATATCAAATTACAAAGTAAACTTTGAAGCAGTAAAAAGAGCATTTTTTGGAGCAGCATATGCATACACATTGGATGATTTTAATCATCACATGGAAATTGTGTATAAAGCAAACAAAGGAGCAAGGACATATTTGACAAATATTAGATTTGAAAAATGGTCTCGAATCCATTGTAAGTCAAATAGATTTCTAGTGATGACATCTAATGTTGCCGAGTCAATAAATTCCGCTTTGAAGGCTGCACGAGATCTTCATATAACAGTTTTATTGGATAGCGTACGTGGAATGCAACAAAAATGGAATTTGAGGAATCAGAAAGAAGCTGAATGCACTTTTACGAAGCTCGCAAAGTTGGGCCAAAAAATGCTTGAAGAAAATTATCAAGAGTCGATGAGGTTCACAGTAAGTGTAATTTGAAAAAAATATTTATATTAATTTTGTAATTTATTGTTTTGGAAATTAATATTTTGAAAAAAAAAAAATGTACAGGTACATCAAGCAAGTGATGAATATTCAAAGTGAAGCATGAAATTCAAAATTTCATTTTGAACCTAAAAGAGAGATCGTGCACATGCAATAGATTTCAAATGGACGAATTGCCATGTTCACATTCAGTAAGTGTGATTAGAGAGAGACAAGAAGAGCCTGAGGACTATTGTTCTCATTTTTACTACAACAACACTTTATTGGCTACATATGAAACATGTGTATTGCCAATAGATTTTGACTTTCATAGTGAGTCGTACAGTTGTAAAGATGAGAAATCAATAATACCTCCAGAAGGAAAATCAGTTGCAGGAAGGAAAAGAAAGAAAAGGATCAAATCAGCATGGGAGCATGGGAGGAAAAAAATAGTTTTTTGAATTTCATAACCAGTATGTTTGTTGAAGTTGTAATATTATAGACTAATGATTATGTATTATTAATATTTTTATGAACCTTAATAGTTTTGCATTTTTATGTATTTTATTTCAGGTTGATAAGAAGAACTAATAATATTTGAATGGAACAGAAGATTGAATTTTGAAATTACTTACATAAACAAGAAGGAAAAAAAACATACTTCAAAATAAAAGACAAAAGGAACGAGAAGTTAAACTACTAAACATAGCAACAACATTAAAAAAACTTAAGAAGTCATTATCCAATTTCCATACAAACATCAAATCATTTTTTTTTTAAAAAAGGCAACAAGTAATCCAGAATTCATTATTCAACCTAAAAAACGGGACACCAATTACTAACAAGAAAAAAACCAAACAATTGAAAAAAAAAATTCGAAAAAAGTTTTACAACTAAACATGAAAGAGTAGATGTGTTTGAAAACATCCATTAAATCTTTAAAACCTACATATTAAACCAACATCTATGAACCCCATTCCTATCATATGGAGGCATAACTCCTAGACATTGAGCCTAACTTCAGTAAGCCAAAAAAAAAATATAGAAATAAATGAAAATAAAAAATAAAATAAACATGAAAAATACCCTTAGAAAGTAAATATCCAATTTCCATACATCAGCAAATTAATTTAAAAAAAAAAAAGAACAAGTGAACCTGAATTCAATGTTGAACAATAAAAAAAAAAACACCAATTACTACCAAAAGTAACATAAGACATGAAGCAAAAGAAGAACCAAATTCTACAACCAAACATGAAAGACCTGATGTGATTGAAAATATCATTATTTTATAAAATCTACAAAGTCTGCCAACAACCATGAACCTCCTTCCTAAGATCTGAGGCATAACTCAGAAGATTGATCCTCACTTTCATAACCTTCAGCCAGCTTCTTGCATCCATACTCATAAAGTAAATAACCATAACAATTACGAAGGTACTCAGCATCGATAGAGGAAGGAATCTTCCGTCCTCTCATAAAGACCTCAGCAAACGCAACCATAAAAACACCACAATCACTGGAAAAAAAAAATATTCAATTTAAAAAATAAAAAAAGATTGCATAACAGATAAAAGACATTAAAAAAATAAACATACAAAACACCGGACAATATTGTGTAAAACAACGAAATTTAACATAAAATAAAGGAAATACCCATGTTCCTGAGGAGGAAGGTTATCAACAAAAACAACCTCAAGCGGGTCCGTTCGTTGTTTTCCTACATATTGCCCATCACCAGTAAAGAGCTCCTCCCTTTTGTAATGAAGACCAAGCAAATAAAGAAATATAGAAAGCAACACAGAATAGCATTCCACATCCTTAAGGATAAAAGCATCAATCTGTGGAGACCTTATACAATTGTAAATGAATAGAATCCTCTCTTTAATAGAAAATCTTCCAAAAATCCAATGTCCCCAACCGCCAATCTCAATATGAATAGGCAACAACACATGATTTACCAGTGTCCAACTCCTCCCACAAATAATTTTATACCCAGACATATAATACAGAATATCGTTGTCAGGATGAAACACATCGCGACGATTCGTGGAAGAACGGTATTTATCATAAGTATTCTTCATCCTTTGATGGAAAATACGATCTGAGGTAGTGACACTCTCAACGACACAAGGAATGAAATGTCATCTTTCGCAAGTAATAGAAAAGGACGTCAACGTGCTGTTTTTCTTTTTTTTTTTAAAAAAAAAAAGAAACCAAAAAAGACAACAAAAAGACCTAAAATTAATCATAGGAAATCGTCATAGTGCAGAGAAAAATTTTTGGAATTATGCATTAATTTGATTAAAAAAAAACACCAATGTATGAGAGATAAAACATATGAAATGAGAAACAATATATATTAAAGACATGATTATCACATACCGTAGAATCCAAGAATTTATGGCATTCATCAAGAACAAAGAACCATAATTTTTCATAAATTTTCGCTACGTTGAAATCAAACCCATTCTTCACTTGTGAAGACTGTTTCTTGTAGTATACCAAGTTGAAAAGAAAAAAATATAAAACCAAAAATTATAAAAAGAGAATGTAATAAAAAAATATTAATAACCTTAATTAAGAAAAGGAAAAAAAGGAAATTACCCAGATTTAATTTGCTTCGGGCTATCAAATAAACCCGTCATTAACCATTTTTGAAAGCCATCAGTAATTGGATTATATCCATTCCAAAATAGTTGATCAAACGGAAAAGAACCATGAATGACTCTCTTTTCCCCATCAAATGTCTTAGGCAGTTTAGAAGGAGCACCACAAGGATTTTTATTAGAATTATTGAAGTTGCACGTGTCAGTGGCCGAACTACGGGTTGTCCTTTAGGATAAAGAAGGAGTAGTCTGACGAAGAGGGGTTAGCGCAGTGGCGCATACCTTCGCTCGGCGTGTACCATGTCCCGAGTTCGAGTCACCCGGGAGGGAATTGGGGAACCAGTATTGATCTGCCTTTTTTAAGAGGAAAAAAAAGAAGGAGCAGTCTAACATACACAAGTATAAAGTAGTAAAGATAAACAATCAAAAAAACAAATGAATAATAAATAAAATTTGAATTAAAAAAAAAAAAAAGAAGTGGAAAAATATTGATAACAAAAATTATAATTTAAAAATTAAAATATTAATTTTTTCAGAGGTTTCACCACAGCAGGAACATGAGGATTGAGATTTTTCTGAAATATATTAAAAAAAATAATTAAATGATAAAAAAATTAAAATGGAACTGAAAAAACCATGAAAGATTTAGAAAACAACAACACTTTTTTTGACAAAGATAATACCTTAGATTTGTCTTTTTCTATAGTGTCCTGAACAACCAAATCATCAAAATGTTGACCAATCTGCTGAACCTGTAACATAATATGAAAAAAATATCTAAAAAGAATCTGATGAGTAAAAGTTGCATTTAAAAAATATAGAACAATTTTTTTATGATTTAAAACAATGTAATAAACTAAAAAAAA